CTCATTTGATCATGGTATTATATTTTGCATGTTTTTTAAAAAAGATAATCCCACTAGAAAGGCACTTAGTGTTTCCTAAGGATGGTATACAACTTTAAACTTTCTATATAGAGAGGCTAGTAATTTATTTTTTAAGTTTCAATTATAGTTGATTACTTGTTTTCATATCCAAATACTGAATATAGCATGAAGCTGATCAGAAAAGATCAAGCTATAATGCTCAAGAATAAAAAATCCTAAGACTAAGTGACTGACCAGTGATAAAGTTATTAAATTACATTAGTTATAAATGACATTATCATATCTTCTAGTATCATCATCATTATTGTTATATTACTAAAAAACATGACATGGTGATATTGGCCATTATGTATTATAGAAATTTTCAAAATGTTGTCTACATTTCCCATTTTCTCTGCTTCATTTGGTTTCTTCTATACCTATAGCTTCTAACCAGTTCATAGTATATTACTCAAAGGAAAATGAGATAAAACTAATCTAAACATACTCTAGGTCCAAAAAACATATTTAAAGCCAATAGAATGCAAACATTTTACCTGTTTTCCCAGTGTTATGAATGAATGTGTTTTCCAAAGATGTTTTATCCCAACCTTGAAATTTAAGTTTCTTAAGATTCACATTTACTTGTGTAAGATCTTCATCAATATTGATAGGAGACTGTTTTGGACTATTACATGTTGGATATTTCTTTCCCCAATTTTTTTGATTCAGTGCACCTAGGTAAAGAAAGAGTAAGAAGTTAGTTTCCTAAATTATCATGTAAAAGCTCAATTTTATATTATAAAGTAGTTAATGCATTACATAAAAATAGATACAATGGTAGTAAAAATTATGATATATTTAAACTAATTCAAAAAATAATTATGCCATAGAAGAACCATGTCAAGTTCAGGGCTCAACAATGACTTCGTTTATCCATCACATTCTTCCAAATCAACAGAAAGCCTAATTGTCATATAAGGGAGTCAGTCCTAACTCAGGTTTCAAAATTGAAAGCAGCCCAGATGTAGGAGTGAAGTTCTGCCTGCTTTAGCACTCTTCCTGCAGTTAGCACCCTTCTGACCTACTGCCACCCTCTACCTTGAATGATTTGGTTTAATTTCCATCTGTTTTGGGTCTTATTTTCAAAAACATAATCATCAGGCCATCCCTGAAATATCTCTTACCCCTCCATTTTTTTCTGGGCTTAAAACCTACCAAGTTTTATTGTTCAACAATACGAAAAACAAAACAGGGCTTTCTATAAAGATTTTTGCTTATGATAAAGTGAATTTTCACCTGTTCCACAAAATAAACAGTCCTCTAATCCAAAACTGCCCTTGGTTGCTTTTATTTCATGTCTACCTGAAAACCTGAACCATCTCTAGTAACCTTATTTCACTGGACATGAACTTAGCACCCTAATAGTGCTCAGCATACCTATTTTCTATTAAAATTTCTGTTAAAATACTTGAAATGTTGTGAGTCCAAGTCTTAAACTTTTTTTCTGGTTAAACTGTAGCATTTCTACAGCCACCACAAGGAAGAGCAGAGTGGCAGCATAGATTTTGGCTTGTATTCTTTTGAATGCTTTCCTTTCTGAAAATGAGAATGGGTAAGGCCAAAATTTTACATGATTGAGGTTAAGGGAAATTACAAGGAAACTTACCTTCAGTACATTCCTAGTCTACACCTTATTATTTTTGTGACAAGAGAGTCAGTAAGGACTAACTTTAATGCAAGCTTGATCTAATGGCCACTTCTCATAATGTGACAGGGTTAACTTTGCATAATTTCACCCAGAAAACAAATAATAATTAGTCACACCATGAAGCTGCCTAATTAGTCAGGAAAAATCTGGTAATACATCTCATAGTGAGGCATCTACCAGAATTGATAGATGCTGAAAATTATTTTAAAGTCTAACTCTATTCCTACAGAGTGTTTGAATATAGTATGCTTTAAACATGCACAGTAGTGCATATTTTGGCTTCTAGAAATAGCTTTAATGATTTGAGTAATGATATGCTGATTTCGCTGTAAGGAACTTTGGCATGGGAACAAGAAAACACTGCTTATTTTACTAATACCAATGCAAGAGATGTAGAGAGAGAAACTACATCAGAAATCAATGAGGTCCTTTTCACTGTAGTACATAGAAACATAAAATTTTTAAGTCTTCAATAACACTGTATATGATGTATAAACCTGCTACTTTCCACTGCATTTTGTGATCCTCTCCACTTGGATTCTAAAAGGCATCTCATACTTAGCATATCCTAAACTGACCTCTTGATTTCTGCCCTGAAATAATCTCTTCCTATAGTCTTTGCTGTCCCCTGAACTTAGATGTCATCCTGACACCTCTGCTTCCTTTTCAGCAAGCCTTTTTGTGTCTGCCTTCAAAATATATCCTAATCAGACCATTTCTCCTCTGTACCATTACCACCCTAGCCCAAGTCACTGTCATCATTTGCTTACAACTTGTTACTCCACGAACAGTATTGTCATTATCTAGGAGATCGTTAGGAGAGTCAGGCCTCTACTATATAGCCTTATGAAGTCAGAATCCCCATTTTAACACAATGCCCTGGAGATTCGTATACACATTACATTTGGGGAAGCACTGGCTTAGACATTTCTAGTGCCTTCTAACTGGTTTTCAGAGACCTCTCTCACTCTTCCACAATTCTGTTCTCTACTTAATGTATTAATATTAATAGTAAGGGGAATTATAAGCTGGCCCCCAAAATTCCCACCCCTTGATGTGCCCACCCTGTATAATCCCCTCTGCTTACGTGTGGTCAGGACCTGTGAATATGATGGGAGATTATATTCAATGGCAAAGGTACTGCTGTGATACATTATGTTATTTAATAGAAGACTCCATCTTAGCAAACTGGATAGAGGTTCAAAGTGTGAGAGATTCTCCTGCTGGTTTTGAAGCAGTGACTTATTGTGAGGTTGTGAGGAGGTCACATGGCTAAGAGCTGAGAGCTGCCTCTAGGAGCTGAGACAGTACCCAGGCTTAAGATCAGAAGAAACCAACCAACCAATGAACAAAAAATCAGGGACCTCAGTCCTACAACCTCCAGGAACCAAACGCTGCTGACACCCCGAATGAGCTTGGAAGAGAACCCTGAGCTTTAAATAGGATGCCTTGTTTTCAGATTTGTGAGACTCTGAGCAGAAAACCCAGCTAGGCAGTCTTGCCTCTCCAACTCTTGACCCACAGAAACTGTGAGATAATAAATATGTGTTGTTTCAAGCCACCAAATTTGTAGTCATTTGTTACTCAGCAAAAGAAAACCAATACTACCCAGTAACTAATCTTTTAAAATCTCTGCCAGATCACATGTCACTCTTGGCTCAGAACCCTCTAACAGCTTCCATCTCAATCGAAATAACCTATAAACTCCATGCTTGGCCAACAGATCCTACCTGAGGTCCCTGCTCACATTCTCTCTGCTCCCATTCCCTACCACTCTGCGTTGATCACTCTGCTCTAGCCACACTGGCTTCCATTCTGTCCTTTGAGCATGTGAAGGCTTGGCAGTTGCTGCTACCTCCTTCTAGAATGCTCCCCTCAGATGTCTGCAAGCCTCAGAGGACTCACTTTCTTGCTTCAACTGGGTCTCTGCTCAAATGCATCTCATCAGAGAGACTTTATCTGAACACCCTATATATGGCTGGGCATGGTAGCTCACACCTGTAATCTCAGCACTTTCAGAGGCTGAGGCAGGAGGACTGCTCGAGGTCAGGAGTTTGAGACCAGTCCAGCCAACACAGCAAGACCTTATCTCTACAAAAAATACGAAAAATTAGCTGGGTGTGGTGGCCCCGTTCCTTGGGAGGCTGAGGAAGGAGGATTGCTTGAGCCCAGGGGTTCAAGGTTACAGTGAGCTATAATTGTGCCACTGTACTCCAGCTTGGGCAACAGAGAAACCCTATCTCTTAAAAACAAATAAACAAAAAAAACCCCACCCTATAAATTATAGAATATTATACTTCCTCCCTTGGTCACTACTCTCCATGCCCTCTCTTAATTTTATTTTTCTTCTCCTATTAATTATGTTTATTTATTTATTGTTTCTATATAATAGCACCTAGAAAAAGAAAGACTGGCATGCAGTAGGTGTTCAATAAACATTTGTTGAATAACTGAATCAAGCGAACAAGAAATAGTGCTCCTTTGTTTTATAGGGATCAAACATGAAATGGCAAAGAATAAAAAAAAAAAAGATCAATTAAAGAAGCACTTCTAAACTCAACTGTAGGTCTCATTTGACTGTTATATTGTAATTTAGCTGAGTAGTCCTTACTAAATTTCTGCTGCAGTACATCATGAAAGTCCTGAAGTCTGAAGTGTCTGTGGTCTGACACCTTACAACACAATGACACTGAGTAACTGGATTATGTTTGAAGTTCATGGAATGATTACCCTGGGTGTGAGTCCAGTTTAAAATACCTACGAGATCATAGTGCTTAGCATATTGCAGGCTCAGGATCCCTCCTTAATGTAAAAGACAAGATAAAAGAGGCAAGAATAAGAAAAATATTTTTTTTTAGTGGGAAGACCAACAAACAGAAAAAGTCCTGAAAAAATAAGAACTTGAGGTTCCTCATGCAAAGCACTCAAAAAGGGAGGTTGTTTTAAATCACCACAAGTAGAAAACCAAGTAAACTAATAAAGTGTTAAGATTGCACACAGAAATGAAACATAGATAACAGAAGCATTAAATATATTTCACCTGTAAGTGAAACTAATATTAGACTAATCTTAAGCTTAAACATCATTTTTTTTTAAAGTCTCAAATTAATGTTTAATGTGGTAACTGGAGACCTCAGTCCATGTAGTGGTTAAAACACAGGATGATGCATCTGAGAAAGCAGGTGTACAGAATTCATTAGAATTACCTTGTATCCACCTGAGTGTCATTAGGAACTATTGCAAAGGGATAAATTAGGACACTGACTATAGTTACAGCAGAAGATTTTCAGAGTGATTTACCCATAAGGCAGACTGCAGAGTACTAAATGGGAGCTCTAGAGAATTAAGATAAATTATTCATCACATATTCATCCATTCATTGAGTCACCTGAATTAGTACCACCCCTATAAATTTCCTGTGGTTACCTCTACTGGAGCACTTAACAGACTGTATTTTGTCTGTTAATTTGTCCATTTTATCTACATGTTATTGCCAAACTTTGAGTCTGGAATATAGTAGAGACATATTAAATGTTTGTGAAATAGTCTTTGTGCACCAAATGACCGTATTCAATATTTGCACACTATGCATCCTCTACTCCAAGTGGAATGCAAAGCAGTTCTAGGCTCTGTAGGGGATATGCACTAGTTCAAGGTTGCTTACTTGCTTGTTTGTTTATTATTACATCCCAGAAGTGTGGGGTTTGTTAAATAAATAGACAAACGCTTAAAGGAGTAGTTAGGTTGAAGGAAAATAAACATAGATAGCAAAACCACCCTGAGGTAGGCCTTGAAGGATGGACAGAATTTTCACAGGTAGAGAAAAAACCAAGAGCATGTCTTGTTAAGTGATGAGCCCGAGCTAACTCATGGTGGCAGAAAAGTTCAGGCAATGCTGAGAGCATTGAGCAGGACAGCTTAGTGCATCAAGCAAAGGGTGGATGCTGAGGAATTCTACAGAGGGAGATGAAAAGGCAGACCATGATCAAAATGTACCTGGAGAGGCCAGTGGGAGACATGGAGACT